GTATGATTTCAAAAATATTCTGTCTGAAAATTTGTCAAACTGAAAGATGAAATTCTAATGGCAGGCAGGCATTGTGTTAAAGTGGACTGAGCTACTCCTGGGACACCCACATTCCATATTGGAACGCCTGGTTTGAGTTCCTGGCAACTCCACCAGCTTTCTGCTAATGCACACACTGGGAGGGAGCAGACGATGGTGTGTAATTGCTTGGGTCCCTACCTGCCCCTGGGGGTTGACATTCTAGTTCCTGAATTCCCCTTGGCTCAGCCCTACTGTTAGGAGCACCCAGGGAGCAAAGAAATCTACAAGAGCCTTCTCTCTCTCTCTCTTGAGTAAAAATTTTCTATGGGCCTGGCTCAGTGGCTCAACTGGCTTAATCCTCCCCCTTCAAGCGCCAGGATCCTACATGCAGACTGTTTTGTTTCCCGGCTGCTCCACTTGTCCCTGCTGCTCCCTGCTTGTGCCCTGGAAAGCAGTAGAGAATGGCCCAAAGCCTTGGAGACCTGGAAGGAACTCCGGGCTCCTGGCTTCAGATCTGTTCAGCTCTGGCTGTTGCAGTCACTTGGAGAGTGAAGCAGAAGATGGATCATCTTTCTCTCTGTCCATCCTATCTGTAAGTCTGTCTTTCCAGTTAAAAAAAAAAAACAAAAAACCTTAAAAGAGAGAGCAGGCGTTGCAAAGCTAATATAAAAAAACAGAATTTAAGGCCAAAAAAAAAAAATACTTCTAGGAACAAAAGGCAACATAACAAAAATCTGTGGTCAAATTTTCTTGAAACATAGAACATTTCATTTTTATTTCTAAAGCCGAGTTTTATTCCTAACAAACATTCAATACAGAGCAGTATCTTTTGCTCATGCTTGCCAATTTGATAAGCAAAATGACAAAGAAAGAAGGATCGTTTGCAGCTTAATTTCAAAGTCCATATCCTCTGCAGCCAGCACAGAACAAAACCCCCCAAGATCTTGAATTAGTGATGAGTACCCAGCGCAGGCAGGCAGAAACGTGGTCCTCTTAGGGGACGTGGAGTTGCTGTCCCCAACACTTCCTTGCCTCCGGTAGGGACAGAGTTCCAACCTAGAACTGAATGGCATACACTGTCTTTCCCACCTGCTGTGAGCTGACCCCCCTCCCCACTTGATTCTCAACCATGTTCTTCAACTGTACACTGCAGAGTTGACTTTCCACGTAGTCCCAAGCAAGGCCACAGTGGTCCCGGGCGGCACTCGCTGTCCAGGACAACCTCTGCCCCTCACTTTCACTGAAAACTCTGGACTGAATTGAGTGTGGTTAGCAATTTCCAGAAAAAACTCTGTTGGATCTTTCTCGAAAACAGAGAAAGAAAGAAAGAAAGAAAGAAAGAAAAATGTTCAAACCCCAATATTTTCTAAGACATTAAGTTAAAAAAAAAAAGGTCCTAAGCTAGAATTTTTGGCAACAATTGAAGAACTAATTCATACCAGGCTGGAGACTGACACCCTTTTCTTAGAGCTAATTCTCAAAAAGCAATCTGTGATTCAGGCAACATTTGGCACTCCATTTAGGGACAATTCAACTGAGTGGAATGCCAGAGGGGCTCAGTGATTTCCTTAGTGCCCAAAGCTAGCCAGGGGATCCTTGCTTCAAATCTACATGGGTGAGTTTACAGAGGCAAAGCCCTGACAACCCTGTGGCTCCTGTGATCCACAGCATGGTGAGGACTGACAACCATCCAGCCTGTATCATTAAGGTGAACCTGACTATGGATGTGGGAGCAGGGGTGGCGGGAAGCATCCATCACTGTGACTAGAAGCACAAACTTCAGACTCGATATTTTCAAAGTCATTCTAGAAAGATGCTAAGTGAACAGCCACAACCACTTCAGCAGGAAGTCAACGCTGGATCATTTACAGGACGGCTGGATGCAGGTGATTTCATATCCTGACAGACTGGGCTGTGGTCCACATAGTACTGCTGATGCAGCTGTCCCCCCCGCCTGGGCTTCAGCGAGACTTGGTGATTTATAGTCTCAAGTTAAAATTAGCAAAGAGTTTTAAAGGCAGGCCGAAAGCCACATGCATCTTTCTGTCACTAACTCAGAACAGCGCCTTTCATTTTTGTCCCATTTTGCTTGCGTGGCTGGAATGCAGGTATAGTGAAAAGGAAGAAGAAAAAAAATCATAGTCCAAGATGGAAATTATAAAACTACCTGAGATCTTTCAAAGTCACACAAAATCACAGCAACAAATGCTTTTATTGTCACTTCCAGGAGGAATGAGTGAAGGAGGCCAGACTAAAGCACTGACATTTTTAAATGTGACTTTTTTTCTCCTTGCTTCCCCATCACAGTCACATCTTATTTACTGGTGTGCATACACATGCAGAAGAAATGAAAACAGACCATGTTTGCTATGGGGCCCCAAGCAAAACTGCCCTTGACTTGGCACCTTGTAGCTCCTAGAAGCAAATTCATAATGGAAGTTATCCAATGAGTGCTATTTGTTCTAAAGCATCCTCCCCAACCCCGAAAAAACGAACCCTCTTTGAAACATCAGGGTCCCATGTATTCTTCAAAAATGCCCCCTACTGCCCCCAGAAGCCAATGCACTCCCAGCACTGTGAGCCAGAACAAAAGGTAGCTAACAAAAACAAGTGGCCAGAGCAATATAAGCAATCCTGCAAAGCACTTCTCCTTGTTTAGGGATCATTGTTGCAAAAGACTTACTGCTTTATCCTCAGCATCAAGGTTTTTGTCCACTGCACTTCCCAGGGAGCTACACAAGCACAATGCAGGCTCACAGCTTGCTATCCGGGGACACATTTTCCTTAGCACACGTGGTTCAGTAGATGACACCACAGATCACTTTCACAAAATCTTTGTTTATCCTTACCCTCACCACATCTTTTGCTAAAACATTATTGAAAGGAACAAAACTGGTGTTGCATTTAACTTCTTTTTTCCCCCTACTGTCTTTCTTTGAGAGGGCTTAGATGCAAAGAGCACGAAGGAGAAGCCGCAGGAGTCCTCCTACCAGAACACAAAGACTAAGCAAAGCTTTTGAAAATCATCGGGAATGGACAAACTTGGCAAACAGACGTATGAGTTTCAGCCGTAAGAAACCCATCTACAAAGATGACAGGTGGCAGAGATGGAAAACAAGGTTCTGAAAAAACACTGCTGCTTTTCCCCACCTAGGGTTATAAAAATCATTAGCATGTGAAAAAAAAGAGGTTCTGCTCAGAAATTTTTACTCCCAAATTCCTATGTGTGTTTCATTAAGGCTCCTAACTATTAAATGCTGGCTATTCCCTGCAGCAACACGAAACACCACTCAATAGTGTACAGCCTGTTAAAAGAACAGTGCATTCTTTGAAGCTGTTCTTGAAGAAACCTCAGCTGACTAATTAGAGGGAGTTCTACCAAAAAGGAAGAAGAGGAGGAGCAGGAGGCGAAAGAACAAGGCCAGGGAAAAGCCCTCTTACTGAAGATCAAGAAACCAGCTCAAGTTTAAAATTCAGGGCCATGCATACTGCATCTCAGACAGAAACACACATTCTGACCTGCCCTGAATCACACAGTATCGCTGGCTAGCAGTGACAGACCATCCCCAAGGGAAATCAGCTATCAGATCATGGCAGACCATCCCCAAGGGAAATCAGCTGTAAAACCAACAGCACTGGGAATCTCCCCAGGAACTACTACACTTACCTAACTACGTTTGGCTTGGTTGTGCTATCGTAAAACTTGTTTTCAGGGAACGCAGCTCAAAGGTTGAGCTTTTTGGGGTGGGCGTTTGGCCCGGGGCAGTGAAGATGCCTGGGCTCAATATCTTCTTTCTGATTGCAGCTTCTTGCTCTATGCAGACCCTGGGAAGCAGCAGGTGGTGGCTCACCTAGCTGGGTCCCTGTCGTCTATCTGAATTGACTTCAAGGCTCCCAGCTTTGGGTCCCTGAATGATGCCATTGGAGAGTGAATTAACATCTGGGAGTGCACTCTCTCTCAAATAATTAAATGACATTTTTTTTTTAAGAGCATGAACTTCCTTCGTTAGTGAGTCACAGTTTGTAGAAATCTAACATCTATGTTAGTCCATTTGTCCTTGCTCTCAGGAGCAAGGCTTCTCCCCTCCCCCACCTTTTAAAGGGCAGGATTGGGGAGGCACTGTTTACAGGTTCACAGTGCATGCAAGATCAGGTGACCCTGTCAGTTCAGCATCTCACCGCGGCATCACAGCAACAGGAGCATGAGTGGAAGGCACAGACACATTTCATACCAGAAGGGGACAGTGACTTGGGCATGCTCAGGACCCCACGAGCTGCCTGCATCCCTCCCGAGGGCCTTTCACTAGGAGTCACCGCTTACAGGTTCACCCCACCTCTCACATCACTGCATCAAGAACAAAACTTCTAACACACGTTTTTGAAGCCTAAAGGTGTTGAGCCTTGTTAGCCCCCTTCATTCATAAACATAATAGAATTATAGCATTCATAATGCCCATTCAACTTTATGTTTTCATCAGAGCTACCTATGTTTTGTGCATTGTAAACATGTAGAGGCTCAATATCGAGAGAAATATGTTACAAGAGAGAAATAGTATACACAAGCCATGTCTGATCAGTTGTTTTTTTGCTTTTGTTTTTATTTTTGCTTTTGGTATTTTAAGGCTGACATAAATTTTTACTATATCTGGACATTTCAAGTCAACTGACAAAAGAAAGTGGTATTCTGCAGTCTATGCCAACAGCGGGTTTCTTAGTCTTCTTAGCCCAGTCTGGGATAAGACCTCAGCATTACTCAACAGCCAGTTAGTATTACCTTAAATCCATTTAAATCTCTGTCCGTCCCAAAACTCTACATTTATAAATAATTTTGACTCCATAAATAACGTTGTGTAACTACTAAAACTGGACATTCAACTATCCAATATCAGTGTTGCATCTCTTGGCTTGCATTTAAAGGCCTCCAGTTTGAGAGTCTGTTCACTGTTTGATGATGCAATCACATGAAAAAGAAATCTCACCTTGTAATGCCCAAATTCATTCAAAACACTTCCCAGCTTTCTGGCATTGGCATGTGACTTCTGAACAGCAACAGCTGGGTGGGGGTCCCTCCAGGTGATGGACAAGCGGTGATACCACAGGCGTTGGCTCTCCAGGATGTGAGCTGACTTCACACTAGGATCAAAACGATGCACTTCACATCCATTCTTGGCCATGCTCACCTCAAAGCCGGTACTATCACTTCCCAGCCTGCAGAAAAGAGGAGGGAAGTCAACCACAAAATCACAGAACAAAGCCAAGTATTGGGTGGGAGAAATCACAGTCCCACGGCCATTTTTTTAGTCATAACCAGTCTTCTATTTTTAAAAAAGATTTATTTATTTTACTTGAAAATCAGAGAGGGGGCAGGGAAACAGAGAGATGAAGAAATTTTCCATCCACTGGTTTACTTCCCCAAATGGCTGCAATGGCCAGAAATAGACTGGTCTGAGGCAAAGCCAGAAGCTTCTTTTGAGTGTCCCAGGTGAGTGCGGGAACCCAAGGACTTAGCTATGCTCCACTGCTTTCCCAGGCCAAAGGAGGGAGCTGGATCAGAACTGGAGCAGCCGGGATACGAACCAGCACCCATATGGGATGCTGGCACTGCAGGCAGAGGATTTGCCATGCCAGCTAATGAACAGGTTCAATAAACTTCCTTCAGAAAAAGCATTACAGCTCAAAGTTGCTGGATAGAAAATATCTGTCAAACACAGTTCAGAGAGCATGTGCTCCAACATGTAGAAACACTTAAAAGCATGATTTTTAAAAATGTAAATCAGTATAGTGAAACAAACATGGAAAGCATCCTGTAGTCTTTTGAGATTTTCTCAGAAGTTGCCAAAAATGTAAGCCCCTAGATTAGTCTCTTGGAGAGAAGTACATTCTACTAATGAGGTAATTTGTCTCCATTGCAAGAGCAACAGGGCTGTGTGCACAATTGGACTTGAAGACAACAGCTATTTTCTAAGGAGCAGAGTGCAGTTTGGAAAATCACAGCCACAGAGAATGGGTAAGTGTCTGTGATGCTACTGGATCAAGCATGGTTCCTCACTGAGATTCACTCTGACAACGAGAAGAAAGTATGAATCCATCCTCGTTAAGCACCAGTAGGTAGCACATCTTGTGCAAAATTCATATACTTGCAACTGTTGAAGTGACTCCGAAACATTTTTTATGTAATGGTGTAAGCAATCATCACTTTGATTAAAGCACCAATTTGAATGAAAAGCATGAAATTAACTGAAAGAGTAGTTTTTTTAAAATGATGATTATGGCTTCTCTGCCCAAAATACTGTAATTATGTCTGATTTAGCAGACCAAAATCCTACAGAGTATCAACACATGAGCCAAACTAGAACCTGGCGCAACAACATTTGTTCTCTTGGACACTACCAGTTCAAAACTGTTGCATCATTTGGAAAGACACATGTTTCGGGTGGAGCCATCACTGACCAGACTGCAGTGAACTGAAACAAGCTCCACCAATGAGACATTCCACTGAAGCATCCTCCGTAGCTGCATCTGAAGCATCCTCTCCCTTCATCCTGCCTCACTGTCCTCCTTCCCACAGGATCCCATGGTGTGCCAGTCCCCTACCTCGCCCAGCACTCAGTCACGCTTGCAATACTTTTGCCTCATAAGGTCCAGCAACCCTCTCACAACCATTTCCACTTCTCTGCTTGGGAGATTCTGCCCCTATTTCCCACCTCCTGCTGAATCCCCGCAGTTCAGACCATTGTCACGGCTTCCTCCCTTGAGTCTCCCCCAAGACTTTCCAATCCAGATAGTTTCAAAGCAGGTGCTCTCCACACTCTACCTGGGGGTGCAGGGGCAGCTGGGACAGCAGCTTGGAGGGACTGATTATCTACCATCCCAGTGGTGCAGGAACTTGTCAATGACACCACAGTGAAGCTCAGTGAAGGAAACACATTGCTTGGGTCTTTCCTTTTTCTGAATCCCTGGTGCTCAGGAAATGAAGGACACCAGACAGATCTACACGTCCACCCTGAGGGAAAGGGAACTTTTAGGTACCGTCGGGCAATATATACACCATCCAGACCCAGCATGTGGTGGGACACATTTCTCACACTTACTCGTGGATTGAAGCAAATATTTATGGAGAATTTTACATGTAGAAGGTGTTCTGATGGACAACACAGAGAGAAATCCAGCATAGCCTTGGGATCTGAAGAAGCTTGCTAAGTAGTAAAAAAAATGTCAAAGACTTTTAGAATGTTTAAAAATAAAATGCTTCTGTATTTGAAAGGCTGTAAGAGTGAAGAGAAAGACAGATAGGTAGAAATGTTGCTTCTACTGGTTCATCCCCGAAATGTTTACAACAATGAGGCCTGAGCCAGGCCAAAGCTGGGAGCCTGCAACTCCGTCTGGGCCTCTCTGATCTGGGGGGCAGGCACCCAAGTCTCTGAGCCATTGGCTGCTGCCTCCAGCAAGCTAGAATCAGAAACAGAGCCTGAACCTGAACCAGGGCTCTCCAGTGTCATATGGCCTTCCCAGCAGCGTTTCTTAACCACTTTGCCCCAGGGCTCTATGACAAAATAACTGTTATTTGTAGCAAAACAGGCCTACTCCATAAAGAAGCCATGATCTGCATTTTACTTCACAGAAATATTTTACCTCGGATTCCAAGAAGCAAGAAGTACAGATTGCCAGGTCACTGGGCCAAGACGGAAGATGTCAAACTCCTTTTGGCCCATCCTGTTTGCATCCAGTCATCAGGAAAGGCAAAAGGGAAAGCCATGGTCACATCCTTTCCCTGGGGGGCACGGCTTAGCAGTCACACACATCTCTTCCGCTACTCACATCTCATCGCTCACAGCCAGTCAAAGGGCCACCCAAAGCTACAAGGAGGTTAGCGAACATCGCCCTCAGCAAGGTAGCACTGACCTCAGGAGTTTTGTTACCAAGAAAGAAGGGGAGAATGAATGCTGGGAGGAAACAAGCAACTCTCGCTACAGCTCATTCATGACAGAGCTAAGCAGTGTATGCATATTGATATATGGACAAACTTCACTATGCAATGTCTCTCCACTCCCCACTCTGCTCAGCCACTGAGAGAGGGCAGGGAGAGAAAATGATGTAATCCTCCCCAAGGGAATTATACAAATACCATTCCACATGTTAATGCAGGGGTGTAACCTCACAACGAACTTAACACAGAAAAAGCAGCAACAATCTGAGAGCTGCTTCTCTCAGAAGGAGAGGGTAGTAACAAAGTGCCAGGGTAGCCATGTTGGCCATCCTTTTCTCAAATCTCAGAGAAAACCAACCAACAACCCTATGTGTTGTGTGGGGTGTGCCCCAAACAACCCCAGAGGCTGTCATTTATACCACCTTGGCTGTATGATTACCTCCTGGTGAGGGCAGGGAAGTTCTCTTAAGAGTAAGGTGCCTTTCCCCAAGGGCACAAAGGCATTCTTTGAATTACCTACAGAACCCCTGGCAATGACATGTCCCCTTAGAGATGGGACAGCTGGCTTCAAGTCCATGGTCATTCTTTCAAAAACAGTCCTCTGGGCCCAGTGGCATGACCTAGTGGCTAAGGTCCTCGCCTTGAGCATACCCAGATCCCATATGGGCACCAGTTCTAATCCTGGCAGCTCCACTTCCCATCCAGCTCCCTGCTTGTGGCCTGGGAAAGCAATCAAAGGATGGCCCAAGGCTTTGGGACCCTGCACCCGTGTGGGAGACACGGAAGAAGTTCCTGGCTCCTGGCTTCAGATTGGCATAGCATTGGCCATTGCGCTCACTTGGGGAGTGAATCATCGGACAGGAGATCTTCCTCTCTGTCTCTCCTCCTCTCTGTATATCTGACTTTCCAATAAATAAATAAATATTTTTAAAAAAAAAAAACAAAAACAGCCCTCTGTGACTAGGATGCATGGCCTTTATGTTCTCCAAGAATCGAGAACTCATAGGATAACCACAAAAAAATGCTCAAGATTCTTGGCTAATAGGGAAATATAGATGAAAGACCACAGGGTAGACCATGTCTACCATCAAAAAGACCCGGAATGGAGAGTATCGGAAAGGATGTGGAGATATTGCAGTTTTTTCAGATTACTGGAACTTGGAATGGTCTTAACTGCAAACACCTAATGATGGCATCCATTAGCACTGAAAGCCGGCCACCAAGTAAAAGCCCATCAATTGCTGAGCGGATAAACACTCAATGGCGTAGCCACACCAGGGACTGCTGACGCTTGTAAACCGTGGGTGGAGGGAAAGAAGGGAAACACAAGAGTCACCGAAGGTCACAGGTGGTACACTTCTGTTACGTGAACAGGGAACCCCAAAGGGACAGAAAGCAGCATGAGAGGGTGCTTCCCTGGGTAGGATGAGGTTGGAGGGCACTGAGAGTGATTGCTATACGCATGGGGCCTTTCATTGGAGGGTGACAGGACGAAATGTTCTAACCTTGCTGGTAGAGATTAAAAGCCTTGAGCTGTGTGTTTTACATCTGTGAATTAAATGTGCAGGAAAGCTATTTTAAGTGCTGCAAAAACAGGAGCCTACACAGTGGTGCCACAGGCTAATTCTTTGCCCTGTGGTGTCAACATCCCATATAGATGCTGGTTCCTATCCTGGCTGCTCCACTTCTGATCCAGCTCCATGCATATAGACTGGGAAAGCAACAGAGGGTGCCTCAAGCCCTTGGGCCCCTGCACCCACATAGGAGACATGGAAGAAGCTCCTGTTTTCCAGCTTCAGACTGGCTCAGCTCTGGCTGTTGTGGCCACTTGGGGTATGGACCTTAGGATGAAAAATCTTTCTGTCTCTCCTTTCTCTCAAAAATCTGTCTTTAAAATAAATAAATCTTTTTTAATGTAAATGCTACAGAAAAAACAATAACAAATTCAAAGCAGATCTAAGGGATGATGTTTCACCCTCACTGTTGCAGACAAGGGCTGGAAGCAAAAGAGTTTTAAAACTCTTCCCCTTCATCCTGCCAGGAGCCAGAGATGCCAGCCAAGTAATTACCCAGATCTGTAAACTGCCAACCGCACTGCAGGGGAGGAATCCGTTTTTCAAAATAGAAGTGACACTCAATAATGGGTGGGAAATATCTTATCATCATTCATTTTCGTTAAATAACATTACAAGGAACAGCAAGATTTCATCTAACACCTGTGTTCTCAACAGGGACGGTGGCACTCAGAAGGGGGCAGATGGGTTTGTGAGGGCAGAAAAACCTTCCCTTCTTTGCATATAAAGCACAGAGAGGCACATATCACGTAAGCAGCTCTGCAACTACGACATCAAAATGCCACAGAGGGTGATGGGCAAAGGATATGTCCAAAGGGGAATTCTGGGAGCCACAATTTCCTGATTCTTCACCAACGCCCTCCTTCAACCACTGTACAATGCTATCCAGAGCTTCTGTGTTCTCCAGATACCCATGGCCACTGGAAGTCCCAAAGGTTGTGTATAAAATGCAGGCTCTTGTCACCTAACCATGTGTCTCCTGTGAGTTCTTCTGTTCCCTCATACGGAGAATGTGTATCTTGAAATCAACTGATACAACTGATCCCAGAGCTGAATGACAGGTGAGAAGCACAAGGGGACTTCAACAAATTCATGGGAAAATAGGTTCATGGTGGTGCAGAAAAGATTAGGAATTCATTCAGAGTTTATGTGTGATGCGCATTTTCTCTGCACGTTTTGAGGGCCCCTGACATTGGCTGAGTATTTTACTCCTATTCCTTCCCATGCCTGCTCCTGCCCCCCAAATACATGAAAAGTAAACTTGGTGATCCTCACCCTCCCCACCGCCGCCCCCCACAGCCCTTCCACCAAATACTCACAAAAACTCATGTGGAGGTCCTGCCTCAGGTCATGAGATAGACAAGGTTATCACCTGAATCCAGACTCTCCTTATTTCTTTTCTCTTTCCCCTTCTCCGATCTAGATGCTGCCTACCTTAATTTGTCTGTTCTATCCCTTTCAAAATGGAAAAGGATCTGATAGGAATCTTCAGCTGTATGCCACCTTGGATTACACACTGCCAGAGAGCCATCTCTTCCATTAACTGTGCAATAAAAAGCTCTGAAAAGAAATTTATCAGCTTCAGCACTGATGAAGAATAGCAGGTGCACCTAATACCTGCTTCAGGCAGTGGGTGGAAAAAGGAATCAAGGCCAACCCAAAGGTAGGGCCATGAGCCTTTGTCTTCTAACTCCTGTGTCCCTAAGTCCTCCCCTCTCTCTTTCCAGGAAACTCAACCTGGTTGTAGTTGCAATCTGATTTTGGCTGGGAATACCTGGGCTCAGCAGTAATGACCATGCTGTTACTGCCACTGGCCTGGAGCATGCAGCATACACCATCTGTGGGCAGGGCCACCTGACTTGGCACCTGCCCTCCCTGCCTATGTGCAGCAGTCCCAACACTACCAGGTGCCGGAACCACCCCCCCCTCCCCCGTCTTGTTCAACATCTCAGGACCAGCCATTCTTAGCTGGATCTTTCTTCCCTCAGCCTCAGTGGGGATGCTGCCGGCAATGTGCAAGCCCTCTGGGGGTGCTTATCTGGACTCCAGGCCTAAGGCTTCTAGCACAATCAACATGGTCACCCACGGTTCCAAGTCTCCTTTTGGGAGCCATCGGAAATATTTCCTGTAGTTTCCACTTTCCAAGTAAGCAGAACTTTTTGGCAATAATGAGACTTGTAATCTGTTCATTTCTTTTCCCAATGGGATTTGACTGTTCTCATCTATTTCCCCAATGTTGACTTTGAATGGCAAAATGTAAATGAAAATAACAAACTACCTTTTCATTTGTGACCATCTGAAATCTTATTAGAACACCATCATATTCAATGTCTCTAAGGAAAACAAAAAGGAATTTTTTTTAAAGATTTATTTTATTTGTTGGAAAGTCAGATATACAGAGAGGAGGAGAGACAGAGAGGAAGATCTTCCGTCCGATGATTCACTCCCCAAGTGAGAGCAACGGCAATATGCCAATCTGAAGCCAGGAGCCAGGAACTTCTTCCGTGTCTCCCACGTGGGTGCAGGATCCCCAGGCCTTGGGCTGTCCTTGACTGCTTTCCCAGGCCACAAGCAGGGAGCTGGATGGGAAGTGGAGCTGCTGGGATTAGAACCGGCGCCTATATGGGATCCTGGAATGTTCAAGGCAAGGACTTTAGCCGCTAGGCCACGCCACCAGGCCTACCAAAAAGGAAGTTTAAAAATTTCCCTGATGGCAGGCATTCAGTTTAGCATTAAAGATGCCAGTTTGGAAACTTATGTCCCAAATCATAGGGTCCCAGTTCGATTTCCAGTTCTGGTCCCCTGATTCCAGCTTCCTACTAATGCATGCCCTGGGAGGCAGCAGGTGACGGCTCAAGTAACCAGGTCCCTTGCCAGCCACCTGGGAGACATGAAAGTTCCCAGCTGCTGGTTTCAGCCTGGCCCAGCAGCAGCCGTCGCAAAGCACCTGAGAAGTGAACCAGTGGGTGGGAGCTCTCCTCCCCAAACTCCTTCTATGTCTCTCTGCCTCTTGAATAAATATTTTGAAGAAAATTTTAAAGGGTATTTTCCCCAAAAAGCATTCCCAGCTTTATTTGTATTCAGTTATACGCTCTAAGTAAAAATGATTGCAGAGCATGAAACAGTAAGTAAACTGCAAAAGCCACAGGAAGTAAGAATAGAGGAGCAAAGTGAGCCCTCCGATCTGCACGTGGTACTAGACCACCAGTCTCAGGAGTTACTTGCAGATGTTGTGATTAGGACATAAAGTAGACCCTGCTGTCAGAGCTCCCAGCCCTCCATCAGACTGACCGAGTTCCTACAGCCAGGTCTCTATTCTGACTGTCTGGCTAAGCCTTCCACCCAACCCTCCCTTCCCACATCAATCAGCAACCTTGCCTCCTGCTAGGCTTCCCATAGCAAACACGTGCCAGCTATGTGCCGAGTCCCACCAGGTCAGTACGAGAGCATGTCAGAAGGTTCATGACATTCAATGAGAGCACACACTAATTCCAGTGCAGGGAAATTTGACAATTCATGCTTAGTGTTGGCATACTATGTACCTTCCAGGAATTTTTCCAAATGTCCCCACATATCTTCACTTAACCCATAGAAGAATATTTCTGCTAGGTTTAAATTCTTACTTGAATCTTTTGTTTTCTTTAAGTCCCCAGTAGCTGGCAATGTTTGTTGTTCTTTGACAGCAACAGCTTCCCTCCTTGCATTTACACCCTTGGGTTCGGGGTCTCCGCATCACCCAGTTGTCTCCCCTAACCCTGACCACCTGGCATTCTAGCAGGTGGTTGCCACACCTGGAGCTCCAGGTGGACTACAGAAAGAATGAAATCCACAAGTGAGGGTCTGGCCTATGACAGTTTTTTTAAGAGTCCTCAGTATTGCACATAAAGGACTTCAGTGGTGTAGCTGGGAGACCCATCAGGCACCTACAAAGAGCCTATGGAACAGTGTTTTCTAAAAAAAACAAATTCCCGCCTGCCTTTTGTGGAGACAGATGCCATTTGTAAATTCAGGGTTGTTTACAAAGCACTGGAATATTTTGTGAAAGCATCTTGGTACTTTGTATTCATCCTTTAACAAAAAGCACGCCAAATCTATTTGCACATGTAGGTCCTTTTCAACCTGAATGGCTGAATGCCAATTTTTCCTCAAGTAGTTTTCACAAAGTCACATGGTTTGCATAAGAGTTCCCTCCCATGAGGCTGGTACCATGGCATGGTAGGCTAAGCCTCTGCTTGCAGCAAGCACTCCAGTTCATGTCCCAGCTGCTATACTCCTGATCCAGCTCCTTGCTTAGGTCTTGAGAAAACAGCAGAGGGTAGCCCAAGTCCTTGGGACCCTGCACCCATGTGGGAAACTGGGAAGATGCTCCTGGCCCTTGACTTCAGATCAGCTCAGCTCTGGCTGTTATAGCTATTTTGGGGAGTGAAGCAGTAGATGGAAGATATTTCTCTCTGTAAATCTGCCGTTCAAATAAAAACAAATAAATCTTTAAAAATAAAATAAAACTAATAAATTTTAAAAAAATGTTCTCTTCCCTTTTTCCTATTCATTCACTTACCATTGACACAAAACATAGAAATGGCAGCAGTGGCCATCACATGTCTTGACTCCCTCATCTTGTGGATCCAATTGCTAACTTGCACTCTTTGTTCCTTTTTCCTCAGTTGAATTCATGAATACGATCCTGTCTCTTGTAAAATGAGGGCACTCCTGCTTTAGCCAGAGATCACAGGATTCACCAAGAGGACTGTCTTCGTGTTGCCAGCTTACTACCAACAAAACAAAAACAAAAAGTGGCTGAGGCCACTGTATCAGCCTGTGCCTGCAGCTCCCAAACAGACCAGTCTGGGATGATGGCAGAAGGCGGAACACAGCAGCTTCTCTGCACTGCAGCCACTCATCCCTGTGCTACTGGAAAATCCCAAGGCTGCCCGCATGAGTGTATGTCTTCTGCTGCTGTTAAAACAAAACAACACATGCAAACAAACAAAAAACTTACCCTAAGGAGTAGAGGCGGCACTGCTTGTTATGGATTTGGCGAGCTAAGCCAAACCTATCATCAAGACACACTGACCAGGGCTGCTGGGTAGGGCTGAAGTCAGCCTCCAGGCTGTCGGTACTCATGTGATTGCACGCAATCTGCAAGGATTGGAAATCAATGTGGATAATTTAAAATGTTGAGTGATGAATGGCAGGTAGGGACTTGTAGCTTCCCCAATCTCTGGAAATCATCATGGGAGAGTTATATCCTGCTAACTACTCCCGTTTCCCTAGAGAGCCCCCAGACTGCTGTAAAACGCATGGAGAAATATCAACTACATGGAAGATGATTAAGTAACCTTAGAGCAGCCACACGGAGGTTGAAAGGAACATTAACTGCTGCTAATGCCAGCAAGGTGGACAGCAGAGGAAAGCCAGGCACAGGGATGGGAGGGAAGAGGGATCAGTGAGATCTTGCAAGGCTATGTGATGTTCTTGGAGGATGAGACTGTCTGAAAGGCTCTGATCAAGGGCAGTGGTCCTTCTGCAAGACATGTAGTACAGGGCCTCAGATGGCAGAAGGACATTCACAAGGTGATCCCTTATTTCTGGCTGACAAGGTGGAGACACCAAGGTCCCGGCAGGCAGTGTTCGCCAGAAGTCATTGCTCATGGCTAAAGAGAAATGAGCTGCCCCCTGCTGACAGGGCAGTATCCCTGGGCCAGGCGGACTGCTTGGATGAGCTTCTTCCAAGGGTAGGAGTTCCAGGGAGGGAGGCTCTTGCTGAGCAAACCAAAGCCCTTCTCTTGATGAGATGAGAAAACCAAAGGGAATGTGCCTCTAAGTCGAGCAGCAGCAAGGCCCCAATTTCAACTGCACACGAAACAAATGTGCTTCGTTAAGCGATGCTGACTTGTGTTTGGGACTGGTCCAGTCTGCATGGCTGAGTCTGCTGGAGCGGAAGAAAACAGCAAGTGCTATAGCCAAGACGTTATCGTCTGAGCAAAGCAGTATTTCCCCTTATCCTCCAAACTCTGCCCGTCATCGTGTGGCCTCTTGAACACTGCAGCTATTGCTATCGCATTGTGGACCATTCCAGATGCACAGGGCGTGCTGAGGTCCCTGGCTTTCATCTCTGGGAAACATAAGAGCAGGGAAATTCCTTCCCAAGATATTCTGACTTCACGTAAACCTTTTCTTTAACTGATTTCTCATGTTTTTAAGCTAAGAACAACACTTCCCACAGCTCCTGCATGACTCTTGCTATAACCTGCTCTTTAGGGACCAAAGGGGCTTCTGCTAGGGCTGGACAGTTCAGGGCAAAGCTCAAGAAGTGGGCCATGGTCCTCCTTCACCCCAGTCTCATTCTCTTTCTCCAAATGCTGTTCAAAGGAAAAACATCAGAGCATAGGAATCAGGCTTTTGCTCAAGGCATTGCCCTAGAAAACATCCATTTAGCAAGGAGCATCCATGTACTCATTTGTTTAATTCGTCTCCTCCCATTTTCCTGCAGGTACAGGGCAATCAAGTCTTGCCTGCCCACCCACGCAAGGGAAGTCAAGTTGTTCAATTTACTAAACAGAGTTCAGTATGCTTTTCATCTACCAGTGGACAGATGACAACCTCAGGCTTTGACTCCTAGGTTAGCCCTGTGTTCCATGCCTTGCTTGCAGCAGGAAGGCAGGCCATCTGCTCCAGGGCCTGGGGTTTTGGTGTATGCTGATCTGCTGTGTGCACTTCTCCCTCCGAACCCACAGCAGGACAGGTTAGGATGCCATGTCCCCAGGGCCTTGGCCATGAGTCCATTTAGACACCATCCACAGTCTGACTCCAGCTCCTCTCACCTGCTTCCAAATCATCTGGGAAAGATGTAAACTGCAGATTCCCAGGTCCCCCAGCAGAACTGCAAAATCTGATTCTGTGAGGCTGAGCCCTGGGCATGGGCATGTGCCAAGAGATTGGCAAGCAGGTAGTCTTGGGAGTTTACTGGAGGTCTTCTGTGACATATCCCAGCCTGGTCTCATCTGTGCCTTAGCAACCAGGAGAAGGCTGTGCTAGGACCAGTTTCCCACCAGAAATTGCAGCTTTGTTAATCCACCCCCTCAGCCAAGGCCAGAGGTTCCATAATGTCAAGTAGTCAGAGGCCCCTAAATGTCAGGTGGGTATTAAGGGCCAAGAGTCAAGGCTGTGAGGTCCAGCTACTCCTGCTCTGCCAAGACCAGAGATCCCAGGCTTCATTCTATTAAAGAGGACACTTTGGGGTGGGCGTCTGGTGTGGTGGTTAAGATGCCTCAGGATGACTACAAGTTGAGTGCCTGGGTTCCAGTTCCGGCCCACTCCCGATCCTAGCTCCCTGCTCATGAGCAACCCAAGTGGCAGCACGTGATGGCTCAAGTACTTGGGTTCCCGCCACCCACATGGGAGACTCAGAATGAGTTCCTGGCTTTAGTTTTGGCCTGGCTCAGTGTCAGCTGCTGTGAGTATTGAACCAGTGAATGATAGATCTATCTCTCTCAAAATAAATAAATGTTTAATGATGACACTGGTTCTTTAAACATTTCTTCTTATTCTACAGATTTCATTTTACACAAATACATACCTATTGAGGCGACATTCTTTTCCGTTCAATCTCTCCAATAACATCCCTCCTTCCTCTCTTAGCTCAAAGAAACGCACATATACACACACCAGAATTTTTCCACTTTAACCATTTAGTACCCACCACATCAACAGACATAAGCTTTTGAAAACAGCTAGGAGTGGCTCCATAAAATTCAGCTGCAAAAAAATTAATTAAATATTGATTTTCTAACTTTCTAGTTAAGATTTATTACTAATGCTTCCATAAACTCCCATGCAAGCAAAATGAAGGAGGACAGTAACTTCTAGCTAAGATCCAACTCAACTATGCTTCCTGCCTGTATAATGCCTCTCATAATTTTAGCCATCTCCAGCAAAGTGGCCTGGAGGAAGGAAAGTAGACTTCAGGGAAGAAAGCATGCTCTGAAATATTTTTTTAGTTGTTTAAAAGGATCCAGTTTATTATCAATGTATTTTGCATCCTATTACACTTAAATAGTATTTCTGTCATCTCATAAATAGAATCTGGCAAAGGGACCAGACCCCTTAAAAATCTCAGACTTCAGCAAGGATCCCTACAATTGAGATCAACATAATCGCATACTTTAGCCAGCACTAAAGGCAGGATTATATTTATGTTGTTTTCATCCTAGAATGTGTGTGTGCATGTGTGTAAGTTTATGTGTGTAGCAGTAGGTATAACAGAAACTATAACTGTAAAGTTATAATGCAAGTCTCCAGAGCCTAGGTTCTTAGGTTGTTCTTTTAAATTGATAGATGAGCAGATAATTAGATAGGTAGGTAGATATAGATAGGTGATTGATGGAAAGATAGGGTCGATAGGAAAGCTGGGTTTATTTTAACGCATATTTTAGGTTTTAAAAGAGCCAGTGTTGCTAAGAAGCATTTGTACTGCAAGGCATGCTTCCGGAAGGCATATGGTTTGGGGGTTGCCATAAAAAGCTGAATCTGGAGCCTTTCCTTAGAACAGAGCCCTGTGTTTGTGGCTTAACCATTTGGTGTCGGCCACAGAGGAGGCAGCAGCAACCGCACAACACTGCCACCATGCAATCCTGGTCTTCTGTGTTAGAAAACCAATGGCACTCAGTCCTCCCACCCTGAACTTCCTTCCCACACACACTCTGCCCTTGTCCTTTGGGGTTTCTGTAAAGACCCCAACCGTACCCTGTGCGACTCCAGGAGTGTCATGCCCAAGGCTGTTCGATGCCGTACCACCCCAGGCCCTGTGCCTCCATATCCAATACCCCCTCAGTGGACAGAGGCCTGTCTGTCCACAGGCCTTTCTTCTCTCCTAAAACATGTAACTCTTTGACCCTCACTGTCTGTTGGGGGATACAGATGCACCTGTGTGCTTCAGGTCTGATGCTGCAGTGCCCAGCTCAGTGCCAGCCACAAAGCCAGTCCCTAGCGAGTATCTGCAGAATCGAAGCATAAATACATCAACAGTAATCGTACCAAATGCGGGGCCTTGTGGAACACAGTGTTGAGGAGAATAATGTTTTGTTAAAACAGCATAAGAGGCAGGGGTGGAATTTGCTTTTGTACCTTCAGAGGGTTTTTTTTTCTTACCCATCATGACTCATTCTTGCTAACTGTGAAAATTTTAGGTAGCAGTGGATCTAAGATTTTTACCAGGTTTTTTTTCAGAGTATTATTGCAGGCTTTCCCTGTCAAGATGAGTTCTAAATGAAGTACAAGGCACAAAAGCAGTCCCAAGGCTCTGCATTCCATAGAGGCAGGGAGGAAGTAACGGTTAGGCAAAGATTCTGCTTAAGACCCACTCAGCATCATTATTGACGGCTCCTACCAGCTGGCCTCCTCGTAGCCCAGAAGCAGAACAAAGAACAGTGCTTTCCCTGGTTAAAAAGGCCCCATGATTAAAAACCCATCATAAGACCCTCTTTGTGGAAGACAAAAATCCCAGTGGGGACACTGTTCTGGTGTGCTGCATTAAGTCATTATTTGGGACGTCCACATCCCTCACCAAAGAGCCCTGCCTCCATTTCCCGTGCAGCTTTCTGCTAATGCACCTTGCAGGAGGCAGCTTTGGGGTTCCTAACTCCCACGTGCAAGTTTCTACCTCTTGATTTCAGCCTGGTCCAGCTCCACTATTGCTGGAATTTGGGAGACTGAACCAACGGATGGAACTTTCTCTTTCTCTTCTTCTCTCTCCTCCCCAGCCCTCTCTCTGTCACTCCACCTTCCATTAGTCTTTTCAAGAAAATCCTTTTAGGGCCTGGCACAATGGATCAATGACTAAATTCTCACCTTGCAAGCATCAGGATCCCATATGGGTACCAGTTCCTATCCCGGCAGCTGCCCTGTTTCCCATTCAGCTCCCTGCTTATGGCCTGGGAGAGAAGTTGCAGACCTGGAAGAGGCTCCTGGTTCCTGGCTTTGGATCAGCTCAGCTCCAGCCACTGCAGCCACTTGGGGAATGAACCAGTGGATTGAGATCTTTCTCTCTTTCCCCTCTGTAAATCTGATCTGCCTTTTGAATAAAAATAAATAAACATTTTTAAAAAGTCCTTTCAGTGGCCCTACCAACCAAGTGTCTATTAAGGCCTTCATCAAAGTGAACAATGAATAATACTTCCGTTGATCTGTCCTCACAACTGGCACGCTAGCTTCTGGGAGGAAGAGCCTCACGACCTGGCACAGTTCCTGGCACCTTATGGTTGTCTGTCTGCCGGCTTGTCTGTCCATTCCTCTGTTTCACAAATAGACAAAAAGATCTTTTTAAAAGTATATAGTTAAAAACAACTCTCTATTCTCTGCACAGTACAAGATCAGAGAACTAAGAGCGACCTTGGAAACTAATCCAAATGCTTCCTTTTCAGGAGAACAGCGAGAGTAGGGGAAGCAGGGTAAATCACCCGGGCCGTGGTATCTTGTCACATCACATCAGAGGATGCCGTGCAGTGGCTAAAGAATTCTCTCTCAGTCGGCAGCTCAAGGGGAAAGATCTCAGAGGAATCTGAAACCATCAGTTCATGCCTTAAGAAATTTCTAAACCAGTATACTTTCTATCATGACTAGAACACTGGCCTGAAAAACATATAAAATGGAATCTGAAGGCTTGCATTCAGTACACTGATTTGGGAGGTAGGGAGTACAAGTCATATTCCCCAACTTCAATTCATAAACTTGATGCCACTTGGTTTCCTTGGGGGGGTCTCTAGGGGCCTTTTATTTTTAAATTATTTACTTATTTATTTACTTGAAAGGTTGAGAGAGAAACAGAGAGAGAGATTAGGGGCCTTTTATTTTTAAATTATTTACTTATTTATTTACTTGAAAGGTACAGAGAGAAACAGAGAGAGAGAGACCTTCTGTCCCTCTGGTTGATATTCCAAATGCCTGCAATGGCTGGGACTGGGCCAGCCTGAAACAAGGAGCCAGGAATTCCATCTGGATCTCCCATGTGAATGACAGGGACCCAAGCATCTAAGCCATCATCTACTGCTTTCTAGGCATGCTAGCAGGAAGTTGGATTGGTAGCAGAATATCCAGGTCTCAAAAACGAAGCACTCCAAGATGGGAGATATGCATACCCTAAATGTCTGCTTCTTAACCCATTGTGCCATAATGTTGCCGACCCCTCTGACACCTTAAAGGGCTTTTTAAAGCCAAAGTCAACAGGTCCAGCTATGTTTCCTTCTTGCCAAACCAAACTAAGATGAACATTTCAGCATTTTAATTAAGTCTGTATAAGTCCACCAAATTAATTTGCAGCTACAAAATAAGATGAAATTATGTAAAGCACAGAGACCAATTCATTATTCCAACCCCATAATTAATAACACCAGCTTTCACTTCCACTTGTGGGTGACAAAAAGGAAAATCCTAGGACTGTCTGATTGCATATGAAAAGGAAGACTTCCTTTTACCCTCAAATTAGCCACCTAAAGATCTAGGAACATTTTCTCTCCCCAGAGGGCAAAGTTGGCTTTGTTGCCAGTGAGATTTGTGAGAAGGAAGGATGCCCAAAGCCAGGGGCCAAAGCGAGATCCAACGAAGTCAGACTTGTCTCTCCTCTCTCTCAGCTCCACTGGGGTTGGAGTGGGGGCAATTTCACAAACGTGGCCTCTGCTCAGCTCCAAGGCAGGTGTTAATCTACTAGCACTTCGCAGTTCATAGACTAAATGTCCTCGCCTGTCTCTCCTTCCCCCGGGATTAGACAGCCCAAGGATGAACTCTTCTGACTTAGTGGATGTCTCTGCCTAATACAGCCAGTAGCTTGGCAGGAGCTGCCAGGATGGGTTAAGTCACTCATATTAACTGGCACTCAGGAAGGCTGCAAAGTGCTTGAAGGAAACAATACGCCTTCGGAAGCAGTCACTTCTTCCGCTTGCACAGGCTCCTGTGCTCTATCACATGACACATCCCCGAGCTGCCTGGCATCTGGAGCCAAACCTTGAAAAGGCAAAAATCCTCCAGGTCCACGTGGAAGCCCAGGCCTCTGTGTGGTGCCTGTGCTTGGTAACACCCTCACTTGCCTGCTCACAGGGAGGGAACTGATGCCTCCCACAACAGTTTGCTAAAGTGGATCCTCAGAAGGCTTTGAGATGAATCCTTAAAACACCTCCCTCTCCTGCGAGGCAGAACAAAAGGGGAGCATCTTAGTGCCCTATGTCCCTGCGCTGTCCCTCCAGGAGTTGCTGAGATCTGCCCCACGTCTCTTTCAATCAACCCTACTTTCACAAGATCAACCAGTAGGAGCCAGAAATTCCAACCGGATCTCACATGACCCCCAGAGCCAACCTGTGTTGTGCTGATGTAGTTCAGGAACCTCGTGGCTTCTTCATCTAGGGAGTGGGCAGGGCCGGCCCAAGGCTGCAGCTCAATGTGCCATCGGGGACCCTGTGGGAGATGAGAGAATACAGGCAGTGGTAAGGAAAGGGGGGCTTGGGAGGGTAGGAACTGGGGTTGAAAAGAGCAAGGCTACCGTGGCCAGCAGCAGACCAAGCAGCAATCAACTCAAATGCACCTGCTGGCATCTGGGTCATGTCAATCACAGGGAGATCCAGGAAGCCTGAGAAAGCCCAGCTCTCCAGGAAGCAGAGGATGGCCATGGTCCTGGGGCCCTGTTTGACCGAAGGCTTCGAATTAAAGGCAATCTCTAGTTGCCCTCCTGGGTTCTTGTTTCATAGTGGCTTCAATGTTACATGATGCTAGTCCCCATTCAGAGGTTAAGCCCACTGGTCTATTACAGTCCCCAAAATTCAGGACTTCAGGCAGATGACTCCCCAAGGTCAGCGGTGTCCTTAGTAGTGCTGTCATGCTGCAGCGGCCTCTTGGTGGGAAGAAGCACTCAGTGGATCCGGACAGCTTCCTCAGCACAGGGTGACGGCGTCTGATCATTTTGCAGCTGGGACAGTGCAGCGGGGGCAAGGAACTCAGAGCCCTCTCTTCAACAGGGGACACAAAGCACTGCCTTGAAGAGGAGTCAGGCATGACCCTCTGAATCCCTTTTCACAGCAGTGGTTGAGCCAGGCTGGAAGGCAGGCAAAAGTTCCCGCAGGCAGCAGGGGAATACCTGACTATCTGACTTCAGTAAAGACTACAGGTGTCATGGCCAAATGGTTAGACCAGGAACACAAGCCCCTTGGGTGGTATCAAGAAAGCAAGGGAGGTGACTGGGAATAAGACAGGGATCACTCATGGGTGTGTGCCTGGCACCATGGCAGCACTTGACTGCCACCCAGTCCATCAAGCAATATTTGTTGAGCATCAGCCTTGCTGTACCAAGCTCAGATTCCCCCAGGAAGATCTCCCAGAGTCAGACAGGTGGAGGTGAGGGGGTTAGATGTGTGCAGGAAGACTAAGACATTCCACAGAGTCATTCTTTCCAGAAAACAACTTCCTGCCACAATCCTGAAGCATAAGTGCTTTTGAACACATGCACATCCTGGTTTTGTGGGTTACGGCCTCCTGTCTCCTCTCCCCCGCTATGCAGCAGCAGGACAGGCACCTGCCAGCGGGTGGGTGTGTGTAGGTGCTACAGCAGTTACAGCAACCTGAAGCTCCCCCAGGGTTTCATCAGACCCATAAAACTTGATGAGAACAATGCAGTACACACGTTCTGGTTTCCTTCTAACTCAAGTGTAAGCCAGGTTTTCCTTTTTTCTTTCTTTTTTTTCCAATCCTGGGTCAAATAGTGAGATGTCACAGGCCACTTGGATTGTAGTGCCTCACCTCCTGCTGTGGCTTGGAGCAGCCACAGACAGCAAGAAAACAAACAGACGCGGCTGCGTGCCAATGAAGCTTCATTTACAGAAACAGGCGGCGCCCGGCTGCCCTTGGCCTGCGAGCCGTACTTTGCTGACCCCTGCTCCAGATGATTCTAATTGCTTGGCCTAGAAGACTGTTTACTTGGAATAAGGCAAGGAGGACAGATTGTGATAACTAGATTATAACCATCTTTCTAATCTGAGTGACTCAGAAAAAAATCAGTCAGATCTCAGCAGGATTCAGTGGGCTCCTTCAAACTGGCTAAAACCGGAGGGAAGTCTGCAAAGAGACTACTACGATTTCAAGAAATCAGTGAGAACCAACACAATACCTGTGGCTGGTGACACCTGAGAGCCCACACAAGCCCTGGGGGAAGGGGCATGGAGAGAAATTTAACAGAGTAGCACAAGTGGACCCAACATTGTGGCACAGCGGCTTAAGCCACTGTCTGCTATTATAAACGAGGCTTGTGTGAGTCTTACCTGCTCCACTTCCAAACCAACTCCCTGCTAATGCACTTGGGGAAAACAGCAGAAAATGGGCCCCTGCACTCATGTGGGAGACCTGGATGGAGTTCAGGCTTTCCATCTGGCCAGCTCTGGTCATTGTACCATTCTGAGAATGAACTAGCAGGTAAGAGATCTCTCTCATTCTTGTTCTCTCTCTCTCTCTCTGTAACGCTGCCTTTCCAAAATCTAATCTTAAGAAAAAACAGAGATGAATGCAGCCACCACGCTTCCTAGTGCCCCACCTAAAGGGAAGCCAGTATGTTGTAGGTGAGGAATGACTTCTGGGGAACTTCCATCAGCAAGGCCACTGTATTTGAATTCATGTGTCAGAACTGGGCCTCTTCAGTGGCTCAGATAGAGCAATGGACGGCATACACAGACATACATGGAGAATATAACAGTCTATCGGAGTCTGCAGAGGACATCTGATACCATAGCAAAGGATGAAGGACAGAACAAATTGGTCAACTACACCAGCCAGGCGTTGACATCAAGTATCTATGCGATTGGAGGCTCTAAGGTGGACTATGTCAGTCACTGGACCTTGGAAGAATTTGCTCATCTTTGGTGTGGTGAGATTGGCCGCATTTTAGAACTATCAAAACCATTTAAGCAGAACCCTTGGAGCATGCTCCACACTGGGAACCCTGGGATGACATCGGGTAGCTGTTCCCCATCCCTGGGTACTGAAGTGGTTGGGAGGCTGAGTGTGGCTTCTCCCCTTATCTTCCTCCTTCCCCCAGATACAGGAAGAAGAAAAAGAAAATTTGGAAATAATGGTCTCATCTTTCCCCTAACCCTTGACCCTTCCCACCCTAACCAACTATGTAAACACCATCAAAAATAACATTAAATATTATTGTGAAAATACTATTTTATAATAATGTTTATCCTCAAACAATTCCCTAACTGCTAAAGTACACTGATCAAGTATTTTGAACATCAAGTGGTCCTAATAATTCACCCTTTTAGCTCCCAGCAGGTGGAGATATGGATCCCCAGTTTTATCTGCCATCCAAACTTTCTTGCATGTGGGTGGCAGAGGCTGGCTTAAAAGACTACTGTGTCAGATTATACTGTCTTTGCCAGGCCTGAGCTGAAATAGCAGGTGCAACCTTGTAGTGAGTGCTCATGGAGCAGACCTGCTTATCAGCCCCAGCAGGGATGGGGACCCCTCTCTATTTTTGAAATTTGTCTGGTCCTGCCCCACAAACCATTAAGATATTCACATAAAGGAGGCTTAGCCCCCAACACACACGCACACACATACACACACACACACACATACACATACACACACACACACCAGACAAGTATTTCTCAATATAGTAGGGGAATTTTCTGTTGTTAAATATTTTTTAATGAAATTATTTGAAAGGCTAAGTGACAGAGAGAATCCAGGCACCTAGAACACCATTTGAGTTTCCTACATGAGTATCAGGGGTCCAAGCACTTGGGCCATCCTCTGTTGCTTTCCCAGGCAGATTAGCAAGGAGATGGGTCCAAAGGAAGTAGGCAGGACTAAAGACAGGTGCTCTGCTACGGGATGCCATCATTGGGTTAGCTTGCTGTGCCATAATGCCAGCCTGGGGCCTGAATTTCAAAGGACTGGAAGGAACCATGTGTTGTTTTGTGAAAGCCTGTCCAACACCTTCCCTGTGGAGGGGGGCGTCGATTTTGAAGTTGGAGGTCTTCCTTCCCCAAAGGTGAGTCTTTTATTGCCAGAAGATCAGGCGTCTGACTCCATAAGATCTCAATGTGCACAACTGCAAGGCCTCCTGGTATTTTTATCCTTTGTGATCTCAGCATTATAGCTTGTTTCTTGAAAAAAAGGAAAGTGATTCTCCTAAGCCATAAAACAGAATTGCCGGATGTCACCCCTCAAAGATAATACAAAATTAAATCAATCTTTTAAAATATTCCATTTCCTACCAACCTACACTTAGGCATAAAATACCGAAAGCCTGAAAAAACTCAGGGAAAACAGAATTAAAGCACAAGTTGATTTTGGTGCAAAAAAAAATGTTGAAATGCATGCATAGTTTTGTAGAATGTGCATTTTCCTTGAACTTTTAAAGCTCCCTTGTAGAAAACGAAGACCATAAGCCCTAAGCAAAGCTAGTGGCATGAAAAACAAAACAGGACCATCCATGACCTAGAAAAGATAGTTACTGATTCTGCCTTGTGTAAAAGCTGGCTTTGTCTTAAACTTTGGAATAACAGTTCGCTTCTTCACAAACGGTTGTCTTCACATTTATAAATGACTTCATACAGCTCAGGAAGAAATTGTCCAACTAAAAACAATGTGCTGTCATCAGCATTCTTTCTTTCTTTCTTTTTTTTTAAGATCTATTTATTTAAAAGACAGAATTGCAAGAGGGAAAAATCTTCCATTCACTTGTTCACTCCTCAGATAGCCAGGACTTGATTAGGCCAAAGCCAGAACCTAGAACCCCATCTGAGTCTCCCATGTGGGTGGCAGGGACCCAAATACTCAGATAATCTACTGTTTTCCCAGGCCACAAGCACCCAGATGGGATCCTGGTGCATCACAGTGAGCCCCGGCTGATATTTCTTGATGGATATTTGATAGAGTGTCTAAAAGAGTCCTAACATGCCCATAGCTGCCGAGTCCCTGCAAGGTCCAAGTCAGCAACACAGTGCTGGGCGAGTTGGTGACAATGGAATCCTGAACAGGGTGGAGTGTGTGCCCGTGGGAGAGAACAAGGCTCCGAGGCTTCCACTCAGCCAGGCGCCAGGAAATGTGGCTGTGCTGATTCTGTGAGAGCCCAAGTTTTCCGGAAGAAACAAGCCCCAAACCAATCCAATATATTTACTGAGCAATCCTGCTGCCCTTCTGAGCTAATTCGGAGCATCTGTTCTTGGGCAGAAAGCCATGACTGAAGGAAATTGTTTCTCCCTCTTGAGGAGGGGAAGGCAGGCCACAAGAGCTGTGGAGGGTGCTCCTGAATCCAGCCATAGCTAGAGTTAGCAGACCTCGGCCATTAGGTGCTGGTGGGTTCTCCCTGAGTGTGGCCAGGGGTCATGAGAGCCGGGAATGGTGGGTGCAGTTCACACACCTGCTCGTTTGCAGTCTTGTGTAAACCACCTGGACTCAGC